AATATCCTCGAAATTTTTTATGTAATTATTCGTACAACCAAATGTATCAAAGATTTTCTCAACTAGTAAACAAATTATAGGACGGTCTTCCGACGTGATAACACGAGACGACTTGTCACGTGTTCGAAAATAATTAACTGGGTCTGTGGCTATATTTCAAACTACGTATATACACTGGTGCGAGTTTCAAAGAATAATACCGCTGGCACCGTTTAACAGAGGAGAAACGTAAATCTCTCTGTCTTTATTAAACCCGGGTCGACCCGTTTTTCAACGTGCGAGGGCACCGATAGAGCTTACTACGCGAGATTAACTGCACTGCGTTTAATTAGTAATTACTTAACTTAACAATAGTAACTCCAAGCACCGTTCGTCTGTACCTGAAATTGAGTCAGTAACAAGAATGGTCTCGTTCGATCTCATCCATTTGAAAGATGATATCAGGCTTAATCGCAATTCTCAATAAAATGCTCTTCATTTTAGAAGAAATCGTGAAATTCTGTATCTCGTTCTCTCATGTCTTGTTACGGACTGGATTAAACTAAACGTTTGGTCGTTTATTTGGTTTCTGGCAGCTCTGATTTTGATCGAGGAACGATCGCTCGAACCCTTGGGAGAAGGGAAACACTTCCAAACTGCATTTATTAACGAAAAATGGAGATCGTCAAGATCGCCATGATTCCTGGCAAAAGTAGCGTCGCACACGTCGACGAGGCGTCGTTGTAGAATCCGCTTCCGTAGACTTGCAGGCCGGCAGTCTCGATGCTCCGCTTGCAGTAATCTCCATCTGCAATTTAACGATTGTTGGACGTAATACCGACTCTCGACGTTACCTCGATATGACTATCACACGATAAATCTACGTGCGACTCTATGATAAGTTACTCCGCGTGAGAAATCGTGTCGGTGTTAATAGAGAGAATGAAATAAATAACCAGGTGAAGTGATATGATTACACGGCGTGTTAACGTAATAAGATATAGCGGAATTAATTGCTTAGAATTGGCGAACTTCTCGAAGGATCAAGGAGAACGGAGATCGATGGATCGTTAAGAGCCAGGAAACGGGTTCTGAAATCCCATGATCCAGATTGAAACGCGCAAAAAATAAAGGAAAGTAAAGGGAACGGGCCGTTTTCGCTTTCGAATCGTCGTAGCTTCGATTTTCTATATACTTAAGTACATTCTGATACGGGGTAGGTAATACATTAAATGTCGCAATATACGTTGCATTAAATCGATCGGTAAAGGAAAGAAAGGGAGAGAATAAAAAAAGAGGAAAGGACGTAGAAATTATACAATACAACTCTTTCTCCTGCTCGTAACGCTCGAGTCACGTACATCTCGCACTTTCCATCGCGATTCTCGGAAGCGACCCATTTTTCCTCGCCCGATGAAACCTGATTTTTCTCTTTCCTCGATTAAATCGCTCAGCGATTTTTTCCTTTTAAGCTCGTCGAATTCTCTAACGGTGACGTCCACCGCGGGAAGACCGCGTGAACATGCACACGTGCGCTCAAATCGACGTGAGCAAACGAGAGTGGAATCGTCGAACGTGTCTCACGATTCTGCCTCTCTCTTCTTCTTCTTGTTACTTACGAGCACCATGCTCGCGTTTAACCGTTCCGTGCAACGCGTTTCGCAATACCCAGTCCCACGGGGCCAGATCCGTGGGCCGTTTAACACATTTGCATCATTAGTTTATACAAGCACAGTTTCTCCAGTATTAATATATGAATTATTGTATCGATCGTTACGTTGTATCGAACATCGAATTAAGCATCACAGCAATTATTGTACGATTCATTTTTGCTATAACATTGATGGCAGTGCACGATGGAAATGGTTAAACGCGGAAATAAGGCAGCATCTCTAAGCTCGAGACGATATGAAAGGGACCGTGCGTTCTGCGTGGAATTAATGATGGAGGAGCCGAGGCTTTCATGGTTTAATGGCCAGTGGTCAGCCAGATGGGCGATCAATCAGTCCGGTTAGATAATCCTCTGGGCAATTAATTATCGTTTATCAGTAAAGTATCTCATTGCTATTCTCATTCTGCCGTTCTTCTCCGTAAATTGCAGGCTTACGTAACGTTTTGCAAATTTGGTAAGATCTAGTTTTGTGGAAGATTCTAAGCAGCCTAATAATTTCACCGTCCCGACTCGTAATTCAGTGGAGTGTCGTCACACGATGAATATTTGTAGCGCTTAGAGTACCGGTAACTGGCACGTGGGAACTGCAACCTTCAATCTGTTACGGTAGGAAATTGCATAATTTGTAACAAGTTACGATGAAAGGCGTCCCGACGTATGCACCGGTCCTGCCTCGCACGGTTCCTTGTTTTCATCGATGCTGAAAAAGTCGCGGACGCGGAACCGCCGGTAAAAATCGACTCGAGTGACATAAGAAAACGGAAGGGCGGATCGATCTTAATTAACCATCTTCGGGTCTCTCCTAATTAAGATCACCGTATCGAATGACAGTTCTATCAAACTATCTATCAGTTTGCGTAACGATTCAAGTTGATCGCTTAACGCAACGTGCTCTCCAATTAGTTCACGAGATTTTAGATAAAGTTGAATATTAGCCAAACAGATAAAACGGACTTTCTTAATCAGACATTTACATGCTTCTTACGTTTGCTCGAGCATTGTCTTTAATAGCTGATTCAAAAAGCCTATTACACCTCTTGTTAATCTGATCCGAACAAATACTGACAGGTATTATGCGTAGTATGTCAATACTCGTTTCGGGTTATATAAGAAACGTTCGAGATATAATGCTTTTTTTTCTCTTTGCTCAGTCTGCTCGGCACGCGTGAACGGGTGGTGAAAGGGTTATAAAGGCAGCGGGGTTAAAATAAGAGCAAACGGGGGAACGACTTTCTCACCGTAAGACCAACCGACGACGTCACCGGTCCTCAGGTTCTCCGTTCTCAGCCAGTCTTCGAGAGGCCTGAAGTACTCGCGCAGAGCGGATGCGTCCAATCTGTCCTCGCCGATGGCTTCTCGAAGAGTCTCTTGCCACGGTAGCGACGATCCCCTCTCCATTATTTTTCTGCTCACAAAACAGAACGTATCCAGAATTCTCCGAGTCAAACATTGGCGTCTTAAATATGTGCATATTTTAATTTACAAATTATATGTTGAAATGAAACAACGATGCAAGAATAAATCATGTTAAGATCATTTTTATTGCATTCCTATGTCTACGATTTTTCTACTGATTTTCATCTGAGTTTTCTATACAAAACGTGAGCTAATGTTCCCAGGAGCGAATCACGAGCGTGCTTAGATAATTCGTGCGTCGTTAGGCTTGAACAAGTCCTTTCCAGTCGCCCGTTGCGACAGAGTACAATGAAAAAGCCGGGGAAAAATTTTTCGCTGATGGAATTGGAACGAGAGAAAAATAAAGACGCGTAACGAGCCTCTCTTTAAGCAACGTGTCGTTAATTAGCCTATCTTTGGCAATCGACCGTTCGGCCGCGGTTTCTGATTTCACAGTGGGTGTGTCACAACTCGTATGAGTTACGAGCTCGAAATTGATTCTGTCCGCTAACGATCCGAGATGAAAATGCGAGCGAGACTTGTCTTTTAGAACGATGATTCGATGCATTTAAAACACTGACTTAAAACGGTGATTTAACACGGAATGTAAAAAGAATGTGTCAGAAATCCTATCGCAAGAATCAGTGAGTAATGGAGGTATACTGTTAATTAAAATAATGAACGAGATTTCGCTTGAACTTGATTGGCCTTTCTAGTGTTAATTTGTAGGTTGATCGGTCGCATGATTGAATCGCGGTCGATCGTGACGTGGCTGTAATAAGGTTCGAGTCATAATCTCGTTGAATTGGTACCGGAGATAATGCTTTGATCCTGGTTAGCTACTCCCACGCGGCCGCTGTCAGTTGCCATGAGCATTATCAAGAAAACAACATTACTTTTAAGATAGCATCTAGAGGAAATTACATTCGTATTATTTTCTTATACATTAAATTGATCTCAGCTCCTTAAGATATTGCATAAAGTAACTTGTTTCCATTCACGTCTCACTCAATCGAAAAATAATCTTGAATAATGAGATCGACGATAAAACGACGATCACATTTTCTAGACGAGAGTCAAATATAATTAAGGATGTATTGGCTATACAGTCAATCCCAAAAGTTTATGTACTTTAGAAACGCAGTTTTTAAAAAGAAATCAGATGTCGGAAGAACAATGCTAATAATAGACAACAAAAAAAAATTTTCGATTTCTCCGAGATTTTTCCAAGGGGTACCTCTTTAATTTCTTTCAAATTTTCGTTTTTGACCAATAACTCCCAAACCGTTGAATATACGGAAAAATTGCATATGACTGACATATGATTATTAGCATTGTTCTTTCGACGTCTGATTTCTTTTTAATTATAGGAAATGCGTTTTTCTAAGGTGTATACACATAATATATACATAAACTTTTGGGATTGACTGTATAACCAATACATCCTTAAGGAACTTCGTTATGTGGCTTTTTCACTGTTATTCGAGCTTATTCTACCACCTTCCCCTCGCTTTCTTGTTTCCGGAGGAAAACGATACATCTCGCGCTTGATGTCTGTTCACGTCGGCGACGTGACAATGTAGTTTTGTTACGTAAATCGGAACTTAATATCAGAAATTTTTTCTGAGTTCAGATTTCCATGAACGCAAATTACTGATAGACTAGACCCGATTGTGTCTGAATCTTGCATAAGAGGGTGTTCGACGATTCCCATACTCGGTAACTAGAACCCAATGAGCTGTTGAAAAATCAACACCGCGTTTCAGGAACCGCAGAGTTTGCGTAATTAGAAGATTATAGAGTATTATGCTGAATTCTTATCGAACTACATTCGCACCTTTCTACCGCAGTTATCAATCAGATACGCGTTCGTGGCTGCGGTGAATTTGCAAAGTAAACAAATAATTGGTGAAAATCGGTGAGAGTGAAACGTCAGGGTGTGATATAACGACATTTTGGAAAGTAATTCGGATGCAGGCCGCGCCGTCTCGTTTCCGGCTCGCGTGGGAATCGACCGGACGAGCAAAAACATTTCGGTATGCCTCCGATGCAATTTATATCGGTCTCACAATTTCCGGTGTCAGCGAAATCGCCACTTTCCTGCCTCGATATTTCGCAAACCGGGATGCTGAACGACCGAACACCACCGTGCCTACCGCCGTCTTGCCACGACTGACCTTATCTACTTATGGGAAAATTCAACCAATCGCGGAGAACTGTTCGCTGTTTAATAGAAATCACAACGTTCCTGATGCGAATTATAAAAATGTTTAGCCGTTCACTGATATCTACTATAAACGGAACTTCGTTACACAATTTAATATTAAGTATAGAAAGTTATTTTATGATTCATGAAATCTATTCGACAGAAATATTCTCGGTGATAAGATAAAATATTAAACTGATATTTAATAAATAAAATTATGATATGTTGCATAATTTAATTTGTGTTAATTTTATATATGTAACGATTAAGAGGGTCGAGGAACATGGAATTACAGTCGTGTCAGTAATCATTAAGTGAACACGAAGAACGCTCTCGTGTCTTCAGAGTCTAAGAATCCTGTGTTGCCATAGTGATATTGATCCTTCGAAAATTTACGAAGGGTCCAGCATAATTCAGAGTCTCTACGTAGTTTCCTTCGAAATCCAACCTCTGTACAACTGTCTCAAAGAACAAAGCTTAATCGTAATAAAATAAAATAAAATCTCCGTGATTTTTGCATGTTTTCTCAACAAGGGTCTAGAGGTGAACTTTATTTAAAATAGAATACTAATGGGAGTAGATAGTTGCATTGTCTCTTGAGCATCACGAATCCGCAGCAGAATGATTTACGTGCTGCCTCCTGCACGGTAGAATCGAGTCACGAATTCTAGGTTCTACGTTTTAAGGGTGATCCCGACACTGCTTGTGGGAAACGCGTGTCATTTGGCTAAAGGAGTCGAGTTTTGCAGCATAGGTGCCATTTGCTATTTATGACCTTGACAGATCCACGATAGGAACAATTGTTCGCTATTATTATCGGAAAATGCTTGACGTTTCTTCACTTTCGTAACTGTAGCCAATCATCGAACGAGCCTCGACGATTTGCATGAATTTCAATCGATTCCTGAGCTTAATTGGCCCGAGGAAACCGCTGCACTCGAGTCACTGCGGGCTGATTGTACAAAGCGTAATGGAAATTAGATCGTTTGCAATTTCTCTTTTCATAATGGAAAATATCATTTCCAGACAGGTTCTACTACGTAATACACTTGGCATATTACGTCCAACTTACAATGTGTAAAACCCATATCTTTCAATCAGAATATAAAAGTTCTAATCAGGAACGAACTAACAATAACAACAACAACACTAGATTCTATTTAGAGAACGAATGAACAGGAGAAGAATTGAAACTTTTACTAGAATATTTTCCTCTCATGGTTTCTTGGCCTTCCCCTCGGCTCGCCTCGGGCGAGAGTAAAGTTACACGGCCTCGTAAAACGGAAGTGCAACGCGCGATGTAACAAGCCGCGGCGTTTCCTCGTGTACGCGACACACGCAGCTTTTTACGCAGTCGCTTTCGTAACGTGGCTGCAACGCGAGAGCTCGAGATCGTCCTTCGATTACAGGAAGTCAGGTCTTTAGACGGTAGCTGATTCCGACCGATCGACAATAAAAGAGAAAACTGATCAAATTTTCATTAAGTAATTATTTGAAATAAAAACTGCAATATATTGTACAAACTGGTAAATGATAAATGATACTGGAACCTGATAGATATTGGTTATAAATAATTGTGCTCGAGGATTAAGTAAACTGTTTCATCTAATAATTGAAAGTGGAACGCGGGACGGATTAATCAACTTCAATCAGAGTTCGATTGAAGGATGTACCAATTGAATTTGGAAAAATGTGAGATTCGTTACGGACAAGCGTCTTGCGAAATGTTTGAAAAACCGAGATTTTTATAAACGTTCCGATTGGGCAATGACGCTGAAATTTCCCAATATAACCGAGTATAAGGAGATAATTTCCTCACGTCAGAAATCAAGCACAGATCCTCCCAAGCGATAGAAAACGATTTATTATTGTGGACTACCCGTTCTGACGGGTGCATCACGCTTAATTGCTCGTTTCTTCGGGTTACTTCACCCGTTCCATTATGGAATAAAGAACACTGGTCTGCCACGCGCCGTTGCCTGATTCTACTGATACTCTCAACTTTCAAATTAGGTCGTTCTCAGCCCCTTGCATTTTACATTGGCCATTTCTATTTTTATATATAATATATCTTGTGTCAATTATTACGTATTGTTATATACGTAAGACTTGAAGATATTTATAGCTGGCAGATTTATTTCGAAAAAATGGTACGTGATGTCGTTTTGATCAAACGAAATCTCGTTACAGCATCGTGAATTCCAGTTAAATCGATGGTCGCACGCGTGGATATGATATAAAGGGTTGTCGAATTTGCCGGATAACCGTATCCCTCTCGTTGACCTAGATCACGTTGAAAATTGTCAAGGGATTGGATCGGCATGATATCTTCCGGTACACGTGCTTTGTATTCGCATCGGATTGTTGAAACTTTTCCAAGGGACCTTGAAAGTATCGCCGATTTCGTATCAATCTCGCCCAACCATCTGGACTCTATTCCACTTTTGATACTTATCAAATATCTAACATAGATAAATTGATATTTATCCGTTAATGAAATCTTTTATCAAGACTGATCAAACATTGAAGAGTATCTGTCAAGCTTTAAGTATGACAGAGATTTCATAAATCAATATATGCTTTACCACTAGAAGTACCGGCGAGTGACTACCGGAGAGGTAAAAATGATTTGTTCTTCAAATTAATAAGTCATTTAAAAAAAGACATAGCAATTTTTACGTATCTGTATCTGAAATGAAAACTTAATAGACGATCTTTAATATATGATAAAAATTTTGCTTCGTTCAATGAAAGATTGACGACGAAGAACGTAAAAGGTGTGGAATATTTTTTACGCCCACCAGGTAGACGCATCGTGGGTCCGTTGCGAATCGCGAATGATTTACATACGTCGCGTTGGTTGCGTTACGTGCTTAATCGGACTTTCCTCGGGGCCTGAGGCCGTGGCATCAACAAAAATTCGTCGCCATTTATAATAAATGTCCCGCCCGCTAGTTTCACGGTGAAAGCAGCTCGTGTAATTGAAATTACCGATTACTAAACTGTGAACTTTATGCAATTTTCACGGGGCGTGGAAACATTTGACACCTCGGACTCGTAAACAAGTTGTCGAGCCCTGATGGAAGCTTCCTATAGGTCAATTGAATCATTAATATGCACTTATTTACGAAAAAAAAATTGATTACTGGTAATTCTAGTTTTGTAAGTCAAGGATGAGGTCGTTAAGAAAATTCCTCGAAACAGAATTTATGTATCAATACGGCTCGCTCCACCTTTTAGCGAATGCATAAGAATTTTAATTAGTGATCAGAATTTCAATTTAACTAAATATCATTTTACGACGGGACACAAAAACTAGACGGTTTATCTGGATTCGATGCGTCTCGGGACCAGCAGATTTATACAATCGTCTCCAGATTTTTTGGAAACGCACCGGTGGACCCCGACTTTTATTAGAATAAAATTTATTCAGGGTTAATACAACGGATTGCGACATCGTGTATCATCGCGAACCTAATATCTCGAAATTGGAGAACCAAGCCGATAATGTCAGATACGTGACGATTTTTTGACTCTCACGAGAATTTTCGCAATCGGTCACGTAACCGAGCTTAACAAAATCGTGTCACTACCATCCGGATGAGAATTCTTATCTGATTATCAAATCAGTCAGAGACCGAAGATGTCCTAACGATCCTACAAAACAACACTTGTAGCAAAATATACGTGAACTTGATTAGCTAGAAATATTATATCATGATTATTTAAGAGACTGGAAGTTGGCAGCCAAAAACTGGGTAAACCTTGAATTCCAACCAGGTCAAAATGTCAGAATTCTATGCAGGTTCGCATGCCATCCGCCTGAATTGATAATTTTCTTATTCGGGAACCGATGCATCAACGTTAAACATCATGGAATATTCATAAACCGGCCGATCGGTTTGGCAGTCACCTTGGAATAAAATAGTGGAATTTTCGACGACAAAATCCAATTCTTAATTTTATTTGAATTCTAGAGAATCGAAAAACAGAACCATTTTTTATGCGTCTTCTTCGAAGGGACACGACATTTTTTAACTGCAACGTCTATAAGAATCAAACTTTGGATCGTCCCTCCCACGGTTCTTAACGTTGCAGAATTTACAACCAAACTCGTTACGAGTCGATGAATAAACATCGCCTTTCGTAACGATGCCGGTAAAAAAAAAAAAAAAAAAATAGTTGACGTCCCCAGGTAAGAGGGATAAGTAGTGAATTGATAGTTCTACGTCAAATTCAGGAATGCATGCAAAGTTTTGCTTAATTAGCCGGACTAAATATAGCCACGGTTTGCCGTTGATTCTGATTTATTCACGATAAATTTTAACTTTCTCAAAACTCAATTCACTTCATGGAAGTAACGTTAATATAACGAAAGCAAGCCATGTCGCGTGGCGAAACTTGGGATTCAGGACCACATCAAACTCTCACGAAGTAAAACAAGTAAAGTATTCCGAATCGACGTACCCATCATCGTGGAAGCTACGCGGAGAGAAAGCGACGCGGGTTCCGCGAACCGGAAACTTCATCGATTATTTAATCGTTATGACCTTATCGACTTTCCGTGGACGAGGCCGTACTATCAGCTACCACTGACAATAAGTTTTTGATCAACCGTGACACAGAGTATGTAATAAAATAACGATAAAAAGTTGTAATCTTTAAAATTCCATTACATCGTAGTTCGAGTTCTTATTTGATGTCATATCTCTGCATTGATCAAAAGCTTCGTGCCAGGGATGGTGTTTGAAAGATCATTTAGAACAGCCTTCGTGCTCGCGCCTCAATCTCGTTAGTTATGTTCACGCTTTACGACACTAGCTCGGCCTTTGCCAGGACAAAGCGGTGCTCGCCCTCTTTTTTCTGGAAAACTGCATTTATCATTTCGTTGGGAAAGCTATTCGTTCACAAAGTAACAAGTGACTGATTAACTTCATAATTATCTGATCAGCAATCCAATTCCAAGCAAGAATCAACAGTTTTACGAAGTGCATGAAGATTATAATGATTATTCATCATTATGAAAGTGATAATAAATCAGACACTAAGAGAAAACGTGATTTTCATTTGTGTGTCATGTCAATTTATATCATACCGCTTTCATAATAGGTAATTGTGATTTACTTTAAATTACAGATGGATTTTAATAATGTAGCTAGGACTCACCCTAGAATTGCGCCAGCTCGAGGACTCCTGTAGAAGTCGCATCTATGCAACGGCCTCCTGGGATCGTCGAGGCTCCTCTGTCCAGCTGCTTCGCATAACGCGCGATACAGTTGAAACTGAAGCACGCCGGCCACGAAATTTCTGTGAAATATGAGAGAAAGCGAGTTAAAGCGAGCTCGATTTCCCTATGTATAGGACCCTGTTTGTAAACGTGTCAATCCTTGATCGTCACAAATATCTCATCCGAATTCCAATGATATAATTTACACGTATTTCATTTCAGTGATATCGCAACTAAATGTACACTGTCAACAAAATAAACAGAACGTCAAGCAAACTTTCATGTCCCGAATTGTTTACTCCTAGTAAAAGCTATGAGATTTCGTAAAGCGAATCTTGGAAACTGTTAAAATCGTGCGACGATTAATTAGCGAAGCGTTTAATGACCCGAACGCTGGTTTTGCGAACCTTGAACAGACTGGGTCTCAAGGCCAGTGTCAACGAGGTCTAGGAATCGTCTCGTTGTTCTCGAGTGAAAGAGACAAAGCGAGAGGTCGCCGTTACATCGACGTCTCTTCATCGACGACCTTTACGTAACAGACGCGGGTCTATCCTCCGCGGTTCGCCGTCGCCGTCGTCTACTTTCCAACGAAAACGGGCCTCAGAAATACCTCTTACCATCGCGAAAGTGTGGAATTTCGCCCGACAACCTGGATCATCTCGGCTCGGTTTCATAACGCAATTACCGTTTTACGACTCGGATTTCGGATTCGCTTTCGCGTGACAACTCACTATTTCCAGATGATCCGTCTTACGAAAATATCGGACTATTTTACATGGTTTCTTGTTGATTTCCGAAAAGGCCTCAAAGAGCGTTTCTCCTTTCTCTTAAACACGATCGGTGTTGATACTTTTTGTTTCAGACTGCCTAGTCTAAAGAATATGACGAAACTGATTTCAGACCATCTATACTTATAAATCGATTATAAATGAAGAAATCTAATACTGCCTAATCCTTCCTATCTAAATCACATTATTTTATTTATTAATTATTTTATAGAAAAATGTGCGGTTTAGTTATAAAAATAACAGTTATATGAAAACTGCTGATATCATTTGACCAAGAGTGGCTATCGCGATCGGATCACGGGTATTGATCGGACGAAGGTGAAATTGGTTACGTAGTACGCATACACCGGCGAATTTTATCGACTGACCTTTGCATTCTGCCCACGTGGCTAGTCGATAGTAATCGAAGACTCCTATCCGCGGTCCAAGGCGAGGAAAACGACTTTACCGTAATTGAATCCAAGGAAACGAACCACGCTGTGAATGGCAGTGAGTGTGATTCATGGATTCGCGTGGTCGATTCCAAAGGGGAAATCGAAGATCAATATTGACGAGAAGACTTTTAAACGTCGTTGAGAAAAAGAAGATCACAGTTGCACAGGGAGTCAGTAAATTAATTCGCGATCCGAGTATCCGGGGAGTTTGTTATCGATGATTGATTAAACGTTTAAGAACCGGTCTCCGCGTTTAGACTATCAATTTCGTGTGCCGATCGCATTTACGCACTCGGATCGCAGCATCTCGTTACGCAATGACTTAACGAACCTCTCGCAAGCTTATATTAAGCCTGCATTATTCGCTTCTAATAACTAGATCATAGATCCTTATCCGTTTAAAAGAAATTTAATGGAACTGGAATGTACAGGATACGTGCAAAGTAACATACTCAACGCATTATGCAATTCGAGTAAAAGTGTTGAAACCCCCAAGCGCTATTAACTGTTTTCATTTAACTATTTTAAAACAAATTTTAATTAGATTTTCTTGGTAGTACTAAAAACGTGATTTAGCATAAAGATCCGCGACATAGGCGCGTGTAAGAAAACGGAACTGGTGCCTGGCTGGCTAAGAGTGGGAAATCGTGACGTAGAACCAGCGTGTCTCATGAAAGGGAGTAATGGTTGCACCCACGAGATTGGCGGCGGATAAATCCTCGCGGGTGAACACTTACGTCGGGGACCGGTGTCCACGTAACCGTTGCTCGCGAGAGGAAGGACGAAAACGGAACGGCAAGGGAGAAAGGGAAGAGGATCGTGGCTGCTGCGCCGATCCGATTTATTCCGTATCGCCGACGGCCATGTCCGGCTTGCAGGATAACAAGAATCGAATATCGATTGCAAAATTTTCAGCACCCCGGGTCATACGGGCTTCGACCTTTCGCCTTGCGAAATCCGATCATCGATTTCGAATCAATGATCTCCTTTCGAAGTCTTTCAGCTGATGTACAGATTACAGGGGCAAATTGATTGAGAGAAGTTGATCGAACGAATATTCTAACCCTTTGTTACATAGAAAAAGTATCGATAGACATTTTCAACTACCATATTTGTTAGACTACTAGCATATCCTCGTAACGACGATGATTTTATCATTTGAATCGAAAGAACGCAGACTGAAGAGAAAGAGGCGAGTGTCGAAAAGAGGAAGGCGCGTAGGGTACGTCAGGTGTGCGGAACGAACTTGCGGATGGTTCGGTATCGTCGTAACGGGCAGGGATACGACCGACGACAGTGGGGGTCCCTAACCGATACGCGAAGATAGAAAACGAAACTGTTGTGAAAAAAGTGGAGAGGAGGTTTTCGAGAGGCGTGGAGGGAGGGAGTCGTGTGTCTCCCGCAGGGGAGTGGTAGTCGATCGTGGCGAACAAAGAGGTGTAACGTGGGGGGTTACGGCGTGTCGGGCCCGGGTGGCGAAGGCGAAAGTATGCCGCGTATATAAGGCGACGAACCGGCGGCAATCAGCATCCAGTTCACTTCTGGACGCACCTGGAATATCTCGAGAAGAAAAATGAGAATTCTGGTACGTGGTACGAGTGAAACCAGGCGAGGGGATATAACGTAATTCGCGTCGGGTTCAGTGACGAGACCAGAAAGACTCGTTCGTCGTTACGTCGGTTCTAGTGAGCGATTTCTACCGAGGGAGTGCCGGTTTCCTCAAGGGAAGTCGGTTTCCCTTCCTGAGAATCGCTCGTAGTAAAATCCGTACGAGTGATCTTCTATCCAAATTTGACAAATTCCGAGTATCAAAATTCAGTAACCGTCGTCTTCTGGTCTAGAAGCTCGAAATTGTGCTCGATTCGTTTTCAACCGGTTCCCACTTGCTTTCGTTTTCAAATAGTAATCCGGCTTTCTACTAATTGTGGTTTTGTAGGTTTACACAACGGCGATAGCCCTGCTGGCTTCGGCCACATGGGCCGAGGAGGCCGCCAAGTCTGAGAAAGCGAGCGCCCTCGAAGAGGACAAATCGACGAAGAAGCAAGAGAAGCGTGGCTTGTTGGGTCTCGGCTACGGCTACAGCTACGACGGCGGTTACGATATTGGATCTGGTGGACACGGTGGTCTAGAACTGGGCGGCGGTTACGGTTACGGTGGGTACGAAGGTGGACACGAGCACATAAAGACCGTGACCGTCGTGAAGAACGTCCCCGTGCCGTATCCCGTTGAGAAGCACGTGCCGTATCCCGTTGAGAAGCACGTACCCTACCCAGTGAAGGTTCCAGTACCACAACCATACCCAGTGGAGAAACCCTACCCGGTGAAGGTCCTCGTCAAGGTACCGGTACACGTACCCCAACCGTACCCCGTGGAGAAGAAAGTCCCGTACCCGGTTCACGTGCCCGTCGACCGTCCATACCCGGTCAAAGTTCTGGTGCCGCAGCCCTACCCCGTGGAGAAGCACGTCCCCTACCCAGTGAAGGTTCCGGTCCCGCAACCGTACCCGGTTGAGAAGCCAGTCCCGTACCCAGTCAAAGTTCCGGTCCACGTACCAGCGCCCTACCCGGTGGAGAAATTGGTCCCAGTGAAGGTCCCCGTCGATCGTCCTATTCACGTGCCGGTGCTGAAACCCTACCCGGTGCATGTCGAGAAGCACGTGCCCTACCCCGTCGAGAAGCCAGTGCCGGTTCCAGTCAAAGTACCCGTCGACAGACCGTACCCGGTACCAGTCGAGAAGCCAGTAGCCTACCCGGTGAAGGTGCCGGTCCCGCAACCGTACCCGGTCGAGAAGCCGGTGCCGTATCCAGTAGACAGGCCCGTGCCCGTCGAGGTTAAGGTACCGGTCGACAGACCGTATCCCGTCCACATCGACAGGCCGGTGCCCTACCCGGTCGACAAGCCATATCCGGTCGCAGTAAAAGTGCCCGTGGCGGTTCCGGTGCATCAGGAGTACCACCACGGATACAGTAACGGCTGGGAGGGTGGCCACGGTTATCATTAAGCTCGTTCCACGGTCGTACCGGTTTGATTGCCGGTCGAAGATCGATCGATCGGACGGTAATCGGTGACTAGACCATACCAATGCCCAAAAACGATCGAGCAGGTATTTTAGGTAAAAGCGAACAAACAGGGGAGAGAAGGTACGGTGGCACGCGTCGATCCGCGCACACGAGTCGTATTCTTATAGCTGGATCGCAGGAGGAGTTCCGGTAAGAAAAAGAACGCGTCGCTTCGCAGAGGCCGGTCCCTCCGAGGTCGATCGTATCGAGAAACGCGACGCGCGCCACGACTAGGAACCAACCGAGAAGGGTCAGAGCCTGTCTTTTTACCGAACTTCGCTAGAAAAGTAAAAAGGAACACGTCGACAACATCAGCTCGCTTATCTCACCTACTTTTTTCTACCATAGCAAAATACATGTATTTTTGTACGAATTATAAATAGTAATTATGTAAAAAACAAGTTGCATCTTTCATTTCCGTTTCCTCACGATATCCTGATCGCGTCACAGTAATTCGATGATTGCCCGCTTTCCAACCGGACCATCGACTATGTCCCGTAACGATCCTAGAAGCAATTCCATGTTCCGCCTGTTGTTCCACGACTCGCCGATTTCACAAGGTTGTGGAAAACCTTCGTTTACGACCGACTGCTTCGCAATCGGACAACAAGGGAAAATTGATCAGTTTCACTTTCTACTCGAAACTTTCCTGCTCAGCAGGACTAGCCATGCATGTACCCATTTTTACGTCACGTGTGCATCGTACGTTTCGGAATTCGTAAAATCACGGTTAACACCTCGTGCGCTTTGCGTTACATTTGCTCGGCCATTTTTGTCAAGAGCATCGAATGATCTAAGAAAATCAGCAATTGTTCCGAGGAACGAGAGATCAGATTCATTTTTACGTGACAGAACGAATGGTCGAGTCGCGACCCAATTCTCGAACGCCCCTTTACCAAATCGATGCTCTTGACCGCAGTTTTCGCCTCTGCGCTTTTCAACCCACTCAGAGAACAGAACTCGTGGAAGGCGCGATTCTATGATTCTTTCAAACACGTAGTACGTTCTATTATTAGAAACTCGATCTCGACTTCGAATCCAATTCGAGTCGCGAACATTGAAGAACAAAAGTAAAGCTTACTATTCAAAAGACTTGCCTCTATAGAGAATGCACGAGGTCAGTATTTGAATCTGATTAAAATTGTATTTTTAAGAATTGTAGAAACAGAATGTACTTTTGCGTTTGATGTTCGCGTCGAGGGAAAGCGATCATCGAGACACCGGAAACTTTAGCAACGACGCGCAAACAGCCTTCAATTAGCTTGGTTGCGCGTTCGTTAAGCAACCGGGGGTGGATTCTTCGACTATATTACTAACAATTTCGATTGGTGACCACGTAACGACTGTGTCCACATTATGGATTTTAATTAGCGCCCGCGGCTTCGTTACGATCTTCAATTGACGTCGCCTGTGCCCACAGAAGCCGGCGAACCGTAACGAGAAATCACGCCTTCGTTTAATTCTTCTGCAGCCAACCGGTTCTGTCCACTGGACTCGCTATTTATGTCACCAAATGAATATATCAAATGTGCATATCAAATGTACAATGAAAATATTAAACAAACAAGTCGAGTAAACAAAATCAATTTTTAATTAATCATTCTCATGTTACCATGTTTTAATTTTTTATAATTAAAACTCAATGTGTAAAAATAATGGAATAAGTAAAAATGCGATGAAAAATGATTTTGCGTTCCGGAGTAAACGACGGAATTCGCTTGTGCGCTTCGACCCACTTCGACCGTGCCCAGGCACTTGACTCACGATTCGCAGAGTTCGTGCTCGTCCGTCGAAGCCGACAATTGTTGCGCAATCGGACTCCGCACGCGACTGCGATCGAGGCTGAAAGTGAGAGAGGCCTCCCTTCGAAAGATCGTCATGGGAGAGAAACTCGAGGCGCCTTTGTGTCCGGCCGGAACGGACCCATTCCCTTTACGCGACACTTCCATACATTATCGATGAGAATATTCCATAATATTTTATGTAACGAATTTCGACTATACGACTTTCTGTATTGTTCTTTCGAGTAGAAATCGTGTCTGATCAATGCTACTCTTATACCCCTTAAATACTCACACTATATTTTCTACATCCTTATATGATCTCGTTATGTTCTTGAATAAAGATAATGAAGAAGATATGTCTATCGAGATACTACTAAAAAGTGGCAGTGAGTTCTTTGTAGCTGACAGCTAGAGATACAATTTTTGCTTGAAACATTTTCCGCTAGCGTCGATAGTTAACGAGTGTTTGGCAAAAAATGAAAGAACAGTATTTTGGACATTGCATAGGACCTTTCTTATATTAGACAACTGGAGCTACAGCTTTTTATAATACATTTTTCGGTGGTCTGTCTAATACGGTATCATTTCCCTTCGGCTTTAAATACACACGAATGTGCCTGTTAGGTCTTCTATAATTTTTTCGTCACGCGTAGTTAAGTTCAATGGTTAAGATCTTTCCGTTTCATACCTTTTTGTTCTGTCTACGAAATAATTAATTGTAAAATTGCAAAGACTGTTTGAATTTAAGTCCAGCAGCGCTGTTTACGTAGCTCGGTACTTTCACGAAGGCAAACTCAGAACAAGCGTCGATAAGGAATGCATGGGATGTGTACAACGCCTGGTACACACTTTACATACATCACCGAGGAGAGATTACTAAAGAGTGGCAACGCCTGTGTTAACGCGCGGCCCGAAAAAAGGGCCCAAGAGGGCTCGAACCGGCAAGATAGATTTATGAAAACCCACAGAATGACTGTTCCGGAGTATACCGACTTTCAGGCTCACCGATGCCGGTGCCGATGCTTTTTTCCAGCACGATAGGTAATAGGTAACCGTAGAACGTTGATATTATCAACGTTATACTTGATTCGAGATTAGTATTTCGGAAAGAGAATAACTATCATTTTCAAATTTTGTCACACTTGTATTACTTTATTTTCATTAGTGCACACCATATTTTGCATTTGAAGTAAGAATAAAAGTAATTGACATTTAATATCTTAATGAATATCAGTGTTTAATTGAGATTAGTTTCTGAATTAATATTCGGAAAATCGGAAGTCATTGGAAATTGTAGTTCTTCATTTGTTAGCGTATCCAAGT